AATGGTATTGTAAAATAAAAAAAAAGGGCTTTTTATAACAGTTCAAAGGGGGTGGGGCAAAAGATCTCCTCCTTGCTAGATCAAAGCATACTGCACAGCCAAGATCAGACCCTTCCAAACACCACCCACATGATCAAGCCATCACCTTATGCAGCCCTGTGGGGTAAAGCAAGCTCAGATCTCACTAGGAAACCTCTGTGATCCCCCACAATTAAGTCAAATATAAATTCAGTGGAAAGCGTCAGAGATGGAGTAGATTTTGTAGAAGACAGAAGCTGAAGGCATGAAGACAAGGCAGAGTATTGAGATCATTCAGTCATGATTAGTGATCTATTTGTTAAACAGTTGGATGGAACATGTAAGTTTTGGGAATGTAAGGAGAAAGTCTATGACTTTCAGCATAGAACAATGAAAAGAATTCCATGTTAAAGGCACAGAAAATATTTTCAATAAAATTACAGAAGTTCCTAGACTTCTGTTGAAAGAAGGAAAGAAATGTCCACCAACTTCCAAAATGAATAAAGAGTATAATACAGATAAAAAGACAAAAGAAGAAAATTCCCATTTCACATTGAAGATAATGCATTGAATACACAGAATAAAGAAAGTCTACTGGATGGTGCGAGAGGGAAGACGAAGTCACATTAAAAGACAGGTCAATGAGCATATCTCCTGTATTTTCAGTGGAAAACAAAAATGCCAGGATGTCTTAAAAGGATGTATTTTATGTTTGGAATAAAGAGCTTCTGAACAATATTAATGTATATATTAGAACGCTATTTATTACAACCAAAGGAGAACAAACTGCCCCTGTTACATCATGCTGAAAAATTTCTCACAATGAAGTATGCTTGCATTATATAATGTAAAGATCAGTTTGGGCTGAAGAAAAAGATAAATACAGCCAAGAGGCTAGAGGAAAAAATGATGCTAAGACAGCTGTTAAGAAGAGAGAACCAAGACAATGCCAGACAGCAGAAAATCAATAAAATGTCAGGAATCCATGCATAATTTCAATAAGAAGTCTAAATATTCACAGTCTATATTCCTTTATCAAAAGACACAGACTAAGGCTAAAAATAGTGATACATCCTTTAATCTCAGCACTCAAGAGCACTCAAGGCAGGCAGATCGCTCTGAGATTCAGATAAGTCTCATCACCATAGCCAGTTCTAGACAAGCTAGGAATACATAAATTCTGTCTTTTAATAAATAAATAAGTAAGTAATGCAAAGACTAGCAGAATGGATTAGCAATCATAATGCTTTATCCTGGCCCAAGAAATGTACCCAACCACCAGATATCAATGTAGGAAACAAATATGCATCACTATTCCAATAGCAAATTAAAGTTAGTCCAAGGATGAAGAAGATCACTTTATGCATTTTAAAGGAACTATCCACCCACAAGACATTGCAATATGTGCACTTAATTTCATAAGAACATGCTAACAGGTATAATACCAAAGAATAAATTCTGCAACATATGAGTGACTTCTACACTTACTCTTAAATATATTATCCATAACAAAATAAACAGAGAAACATTGGATATAGATGACATTAATTTAACTTTGATTCAAGTTTCATTCAAGAGATGGAGGAATGATTTAATATATGTAAATGTATAAGTACAAATCATAACATTAATGGTTCAAAGACAGAAATCACATAATCATCTCATACCTATCAAAAAGTATAAAAATATGTGGCAATGATGGATAACAACATGTGCTATGAAAATTCAAAGAGGGATAAAAGAACCAGATCATACAGGAGTGACAGCAAGATGGCAGAGATAATAATTGTGTATGGATATGCTATGAGGAATCTCTTTATTTTGTATGGTATATAAAATAATTCTAAGATCTTAATATAGTTGAAAACAGACTATATACCTGTAGAGAAAGCCAATGGATTGAAAAAGTCAAATGTAATAAAATTTCTGATGTTTTTCACAAAGGGATCCCGGGGGTTGTTGATGGAATCCACCTTCACTCCAAATAAGGTACCAGTGATCACATCCATGCTGTAGGCCCCAAAGATTCTGAGTAGAGAAACACGTGAGTTAATGTGTTACTGACACAACCTCTGAGCTATGAGACCATTTGTCTGCAGTATAATCCACACAGCCTGAGTTTACTACTGTGGTGTCTTCAGAACTCAATATGATTTTACTACCCACACCATTTCCAGAAACTTCTCCTTCTTCAGTTAGTTGAAAGAGAGACAGAAGAAATTTGTTTCTTGCTGATATTTTTCTAAAACCCTCAGCAAAACCTGATGATTAGGTTGTTGAAAGTTATAGCTATAATACTCTTGACAAACCAATGTCCTCTGATGTAGTACATATATTTTCCTCCCACATTTCTTAATTTCCACATCTGCAGCTTTTCAAAATTTTTGTCTTTCATTCTAAACTATATAACTTGACTTCTAAAACATACAAGATGACAACAGGTAACCTAATTTTGTCTCAGATACACAAGGAAGAGTCTCTCACAAGGTATTAATGGAACTGTTCCTTAATGTGTGGTTCACAGCAGGGTAACATCATGCCTCTCCATTACTCTGGCTCTGGAATAATTTTAGCTACCTGTCAGGCAGAGGGAGGTCTCCAGATGGAGCTCAGAGTCCCCAGCGAATGCATACATCACTACTCACTCTTTCATGATAACATTCTTGCCCTTCGCTACTTCCTGACTCATGTTTTTCACCAGTGCGTCTCCATATTCTTGGATGATGTGGAACATCTAAGCAAAAAACACAACACAGGCTCTTGGTAAATGGCAACATCTGAGTCCATAAATAACAAATCTTTTGAAATTATAAAAAGATAATCATATTTTTAAAAGGACTATATAAGACAAAATAACAACAACAAAACAAAACAAAAAAATCAATGCAACAATGAAACAAAATAAAAAAAACATTTTTAGCAATGTAATGCTCAAAGGAACATCTCTTTAAAGGGTATGATATTATTTCTCCCAATCTTCAGATAAAATCTCCATTTACAATAAAAAGTTCTTCATTAACTTACCTCCTTCAGTTTTCCACTACTAAAGGTTGGTGTCAGCAATGATCGAATTCTTTTCCATTCTTCATTCTCAGATCTTGCTACACCTTTTTTCATTATTCCAGTTGGACCAAGAAACTACAATATCAAGAAAAATAGATTTTGCTCTTCATTAGGTTGGTTATCCTAACAGTTATAAAACCTGTATGAAATAGACAACATTCCTTAACAGCTACTAACCCTCTTGTAGTTGGCAGATTTTATGCTAGTCTCTCAATAACAGTTCCTCAAACTGGGGCTGGAGGTATGGCTTAGTGGTTAACACTACTTGCTCCTCTTGCACAGGACTCTGGTTCAGTTCTTAGCAGCTATATTAGGTGGTTCACAACTGTCAGTAATTCCAGTTCTGGGTGTCTGATGCCCTCTTCTGCTCTCTGTGAGTACTTGCACACATGCAATACACATACATACATTCAGGTACACATATGTGATAAATAAAATATGTAAAATGCCTCAAAGTTAAAGTAAGGATACGTACAGCCACCTGTGTGGGATAAAGCTATTATATTACAGTCTTCATTTCACTATGATTTTCTCTGTAGAAAACAAAACTGCTTTTCTATGTGAATAGACAGGTAGTAGATCAAATTGTTCTCCAAGTCAGTATAGAAAAAGTTGGTTTCTTAGTTAGGTTTCTATTGCTGTGATAAAGACCATGGAAAAAAAGCAACTTCTGATGGAGAGGGTTTAGTAATCTTACAACTCTCAGGCCATCGTCTGTCACTGAGAGAAGTCAAGGCAGGAACTTAAGGCAGGAATCTGAAGGCAGGAACTGAAGCAGAAGCTTTGGAGGAATGCCCCTTTTGGCTTGCTCACCATGGTTTGCTCAGCCTGCTTTCAAATACAACCCAGGACTAACTGCCCAGGGGTGGCACCAACCCCAGTGAGTTGAGCGCAGTCACTAATGAGGAAAATGCCCCACATTCTTTCTATAAGTAAGCTGATGGATGCATTTCTTAATTGAGGTTTCTCTTCCTAACTATGTCTAGTTTGTTTGTTTCATGTTCCCAAAATACAATGAGAACAATAGGGTACATATAGGAGGGCTATATTGGCAAACATTTCCTTAGACCAGTTTTGCACTCACAAGTATCTTCAGCTTGAGCTATATTGAAAAGAAGTAACATGACATAGTAATTATTAAATTATCACATATACTGAGCGATTAGGTATTATTAGCCTAAGCACTACCAAATATCATGGAAATACCTCTCCTTTATTGTTTATACTGAAATATAAGCAAAAGAGTAATATTATTTTTTTCTCCAATGGAAAGTTTCTTCTGCTATATGCGCCCATATTTGATTCTAACTTGGAATATTTCAGTAGTTCCTAATGATATAAATACATGTTAATAGTGAGAGGGAAATTTCATACATGTGATACAAACATCAAACATCACTAGATCTCTCCATGCTAGATCTCTCATCACTAGATCACTAGCATCTCTCCATGCTAGAGAACTGGTCTGCTACATCAAACAAAGCCTTCATCCAGTACCTCACTTTGTTAAGAAAACCTGGTTTTCCCATTAAGAAACCATTTTAAAAGATCTGTTCACACCTTTAACTACATTTTAACCTGGTGTCTAGCTATTGCAATGAGAGGAAAAGATAAACTAAAAGGCATGCAGAATTTGCTGGAAATGGAAATTTTTCCATATTAAATTATGTTAATAGCTATGTGGAAGAAATAAAGATTATATATCAAAAATTAAGGAAATTGGATTTATCATTTTCTTTGGCTGATGAATCTGTTTCCTCTATCATATCCTCAATGCCTGAGATTCTCTCTTCCATTTCTTGTATTCTGTTGGTTATGCTTGCCTCTGTAGTTTCTGTTCATTTACTCAGATTTTCCTTTTCCTGAATTCCCTCAGCTTATGTTTTCTTTATTGCTTCTGTTTCAATTTTCAGGTCTTGAACTGTTTCCTTCACCTGTTTGATTGTTTTTTCTTGGGTTTCTTGACTTTCTTTAAGAGATTTCTTGATTTCCTCCAATTTTTTTGTTTGTCTTTTCCTCCATTTCTTTAAGTGAATTTTTCATTTCCTCTTTTAGGGTCTCTATCATCTTCATAAAGTTGTTTTTAAGGTCATTTTCTTCTGGGTCATCTGCTTTGGGATGTTCAGGTCTTGCTGTTGTAGATCACTAGGTTCAGGTGGTACTGTGTTGCTCTTTATGTTGTTTAATGTGTTCTTACACGGCCGTCTACCCATTTCTTCTTTTAATCCGAACAGGTGGGGCTCCAGGTCACTCTTCTACCAGTTGGTCCAGATGGGGTGTCTGGCTCCTGTGTTTGTTCTTCTTCCCAATTGTCCCAGAAGGCAACTTATATATAGCTCTGGTGGTCACTGTTCTGCCCTGTGCAGGGTGGGCTTATGGCTCTGGTGGTCACTAGTGCTACAGGGGATGGTTGGCTTGGTGAAGGGGCTGGAGAAGAGGCAGTTGTCCTGTCCCTGGGGCTCCAATGGCTGAGGGGAGGGGCATAGAATGTGCCCCTGGGGGCCTAGGGGCTAGAGAACTGGTCTGCCATGTCCAGAGATTGGGGCTTTATCTGTTCCCAACTGGTGCAGGATGAGCTTATGGCACTGGTGGTCACTGGTGCAACAGGGGATGGTTGGCTTCATGAGGAGGTCGGGGAAGAAGCAGCTGCCTGGTCTCTGGGGCTGTATTGGTTTGGGGGAGGGGCACGGAATGTGTCCCTGGGGCCTGGGGGCTAGAGAACTGGTCTGCTCAGTCCGGAGATCAGGGCCTTACCTGTTCCCAACCAGCGCAGGGTGGGCTTAGGGCACTGGTGGTCACTAGTGTTGCAGGGGATGGTTGGTTTGGTGGGGGTAGGGGGTGGGAAAGAATCTATTTTTTCTCTTTTTTGGGGGGAGGTGGGGAGAGGAAAAGGTTTATTTCATCTTACAACTGTCAGGGCACTCTCCATCACGGAGGAAGGTTCCAGGAACCTGGAAGCAGGAACCAATAACTTTGTGATTCTCTTGTTTCTCTTTGTTCCACCTCTGCTACTCTTCAGAGATCATCCTCTGACATTGTTTCACAGGCTGACAGGGACTCTTCAGTCTCTTTCTTTTAGGTTTGTCTTTCACACCCCCTTATCCTAAATTTACCCTCATCTTTGCTTTTGAGAAGTCCAAGGCCGAAACTGTTTTTATCTATGTCCCAAATCTATCC